AATAATATAATTTCTGACTTCTTCTCCCTTACTTTCTTTCTCTCTATTTTGTAATTTTCTTTTCTTGAGTTGATTCCATTTATTCACTGCTCTTTTCACAACAATATTGTATTATCTAAAATGTAGGTAGTGATTATTTTGTTTATTTTATTTGTTTTACATATTTAAGTTGATGGAAAGTCAAAATAGCACAATAATTGAAGCTACACCAAATATTTTTTATTAAAAATAATAAGATATTATTTTAATTGAAAAATAATGAAAATATTATTTATTAAAAAATACAAATCGTGCTTGGAAGCTTAGAGGCCAGACCTTCTAAAATAAACTTGTGGCCTAATTTCTAGATAAGCATTTTAACGAATTTAAACCTATACAATTTTAAAACGGGTCAAACCAAGTCAGGTTAGATAGGCCAAACGGTAAGCTTCTAATGAGCCGTCTAGTTCATTTACACCCTTTGCGAGATATGCTTTGGCGATTGAATGACATATATATTTCTCATTTTGAAACCTTCATTAAAAAACTGATAATAATAATAATAATAATAATAATAATAGAAGATGAGAATGAATTATATAAATCTTTCTACAAACCCTACCGGCTAACCCTCAAAAGAGTCAAAACAATAATATTTGGATAACTGGATTTAAATTTTATCATTTTTTTCTTTGAGATATGATGAAATACTAAAAACAATTCAATAAAAACCCTAAAATTATTAAATACAAAAGCTATCATAAAATTATAACTTTACCTGCACCAAGAAATTTATTGCAAGTACATTATGGTTAAGTTTAAGCTGAGGCCCAAATGCGCCATGATATACTTTTTCATTGCATATATAATGACGCATATCGTGTGTCTAGTACAATTTAAATACACATCTATCAGTTTAATAACATAAAAATAAAATAATGGATTTTAAGTTTTTAACATCATTTTAATGAGTACGATATTCATGTCATGTCATGATTTTAAAATCGAGCAATACATTTCTCCGTCCTAATTAACATCACTTCAGCATGAACTTTTGTGAATGGTATCATGTCTTTCGATTATAACCATTGCTCTCGTTAAAGGAAAAGGAAAGAACGTGAGTGATAAGCATCAAATCCTTCAGACGATGACTTTTGGATCCAAATCTAATCTAATGTCTAAAGACGACAAACCAAAGGGTCAAAGCTGCAAATTAGAAATGAGACAGTTGCAATGGCCGGTGCATAAAGCCTTCTTGCTATTGTTTGTCAAATAATTTTGTTTTTCAATACAACGACATTTGGACACTAGTTAGGTGTGAGTTGGTCTTATATTTTTTCTCTCCTTAGTTGTTTTTATCTCCTCATTGGATAAATCTGAATATTTTTGTTTTCTGGTATATACTGAAAAAAATTAGAATTATTTGTGTTGTATTTAATTTGTAAATATGATGATAAAGCTAACCTAAAACAGCCTGACAAACCTCCAACGATGCAAGATTAATATGAAAAGAAAGCATTAATGTTAAATTATAAATCCTATATGTCTAAAAGTTTTTTTTTATCGAAATTTAAGTAGAAAAATACGCACATCCCAGAATAATACTAGTATTTGCAGACCAAGCAAAACAACATCCAGCTACAACCAGTGCCTCACGCAGACTAAATGTTACGAGTCCTATACTGATTATATGAACAATTAATGTGGGATTTATAAAGTATTACATACTCTCATTCTTTAAGTTAATTTTTTGGGTGGTGACATAGGACTCAAAGAGTAGGAGTGCCCAAGACCATATAAACCCTACATTAATTGTCCATATAACTAATAATTGTGGTAGCCGTCAACGAAACCTCACCAAATATCTCAGAGATATGGTCTAGAGGAGGTTCTTGCTTCAGCACGAACCTAACTATCTGAGACATATTAGAGATGGAATGTCAATCACTGCGGACAAAATGAAAAATATAACAAATAGAATAGAACACAATATTCTAACTTTTTAATTATCAAATGATAAGGTGAATAGTTATCAGCGGCTGAGATGGGAAATAAAATTTCTTAATCTTACACCGGAGTCGAAAGACCCCTTCTCATATATATGGACAGGTTCTTTTTACACTAGTATAAGACTAACAAGTCTTACACTACATCTCAACCGTTAATGTAAGGAAATCATCGGTTGGTATTTATAGTATAATTAATGATTAATTAATAATAATTAATTCATATGACTTCCTAAATTATAATCGTTGGATGCACGAAAATCAGTGGTTGAGATGTGGTGTAAAACTTATCTTACACCAGTGTAAAATGATCCTGATCCATATATATATATATATATATATATATATAGGGATTTACATTTCTGCAGCTTCTGTACGTGCAGCAATCAAATACTTGCCATATATATACTTGAAAGCAATAAATGCGGGGAATCATAACCATACACATGTCGTTGTTGTACGTAAAGCGGCTGCAGAAATAATTTTACCATATATATATATATATATATATATATATATATATATATATATATACATATATATATATATATACAGGGGCATGTTATATTTACAAACTTTTTTGTTTATAAACTCTTACAAACTACACTATCTTCTCCCGGGAGAACACTGGTTACACTATATTCTCCCGGGAGAACATAGTGTAGTTTGTAAGAGTTTGTAAACAAAAAAGTTTGTAAACGGATCCTTCCCAATATATATATATATATATATATATATATATATATATATATATATATATGAGCTTATCATTTCTCAAGCTGCCGGAGATAAAGTTATCTCCGGCTACTAAATCATAACCGTACAAAGATGGATCAATGGTGATAAAGGAAGAGAGAGAAAAGGGGAATCATAATCATTCAAAGGTGAATAAATACATACAAGGAAATAAATAATCAAAACGACGTAGTTTTGGGGTGGCCGGAGATAAATTTATCTCAAGCAGCTTGAGAAATATTTTTCCCTATATATATATTTATATATATGCTTTAATGCTTCTACAGTGAATATAGATAAGTTATCAACATTCACTCTCAAAATGATATCGTTTTGGGTTGTGTCATGGACCCATAAGGGGGCCCATCAAGTGGTAAGCCCAACAAGGGGCAATCCAAGATATGAATCAATATTAATCATGGATAGATATCCATCAAGGATACTAATCCTAATACGACAGCATAGCAAGCAAGCATGGGCCCTTACCAGAGGCACCAAAGGCCCATCCACACTACCCACAGGTAACCTCTATAAGTACAAGGTAAACCCTAAAGGTACGGTACGCTCTCTCTTACTGTTATGCTGACACTATGCGCACACACACACCCCATTGGCTAACGTCGTTATAGTATTCTATGCACAGTGATCTGCTTGACTCAAGGGTATCTCATTCATAGATACCTTGGAGAGGGCACTAGATCCAAGAGAAACATACCAGTCCATTGGGCTGGACATCTCTGTCTCAAGGAAAAAACATTGGTGCCGTCTATGGGAACGATTCTTTGAATTGGAAGTTCCCACCAACCTGACAAAGGATGGCAATCCAGACAAAGAGCAGTAGCCAGCAGTTACACCAAAACCAGAATCAACCGCTGGATCCAGTTCTGGAAGAGGTAATCAGCCTCAGAACCAGCTAGGAAACGACGTGGACTATGACCATGTCCAGGTTGAGGACGACATCTCGGACACCGCGTCTACTGCAGCGCGTCGAGATAGGGGGCTGACACAATCATGGCTCTAATAAGGAACAACCCTTCCCAGGATCCTGGGGATCTCGCTGCGCATATTGCCCAATCAGCCGATCCGGATACTCGACTGGCTAATAACGCATTTGCTGCGATCATGGAGCGAATTGCAGAATTGGAAACTCGTAATAACCTGCAACGACAGCAAGATTTCCGGACAATACGATAGGAAAATAATAGGGGAATGCGTGACCTGGAACAACGCTTAACACAACTGACTGGATCAGGGGCAACAGAAACTGAAGGCCAGCCTGCTAATGGCCGGGAAGGAACTCGCAAACTGATTTTGAAGAACCGGGTTCCTGAGGTGGAAAATCGTGAAACGCCCAACCCAGCGAACGCAACAAACCCGAACCAGGGGAACCAAGCGGCTGATGGCCAAAATTCTCAAAACTATCTGGTACAAGCTAATGGCCAAGGGGACCGGGATAGGACTAATCCCAACCAGAATGCTCAGATCATCCGAGGACGTCTGGAATCTGGCGGATACAGAAAGAAGTACAGCAGGGGGCAGTATAACAACAGCCTTTTTACTGGTGAAATACTGAATGCTCCCTTCCCGGAGGACTTCGACTCGGCACGCTTGCCAAAGTATGATAGGAGTCAAGATCCACAAGTCCACATAGATGCTTTCTACGCGGACATGTATATCCGAGGAATCGATGAACCCCTCATATCCCGAATATTTGCCATAACCCTAACTAGGGCAGCGCAGGCATGGTTTTAAACTCTTCCTGCTAATTCCATCGGATCATTTGAGGAATTCGGACAGAAATTCCTCTTAAACTTTGCGACCAGCAAAAAGCATCCGAAATTCGAGCTCGCCCTTGGAAAGATACGACAGCAACCCGGAGAAACCCTCCAGAAATACCTTAACCGGTTCAAGGACTCTGCATTGCAGGTCCCCGGGTTACAAGAGAATGTCCACGTACACCTCATTGTGGCAGGTTTGGATGGTGCATCCAGGCTGGCCAAGTCGGTCTATAAGGACCCAGTGAGGAGGTTGGAGGAATTTTGAACTCGTTCGAAAAAATACCTCGAACTGGAGCAAATAGAGATTGCAAATGCGCAATCTGAAGAGGGCAAAAGAATTAGCCCGAGAAGAAGAAGCCCGTCCCCGAAAGGAAAAGAGCGAGTTGACAATAAGAAAAAAGATCCTAGGGCCAGAATCCCGGACACAAGAGATCGAGTTGGAAGGTACGACAAATATACACAGTTGAATGCGCAGCGCTCTCAAATCTGGAGAGAAGTGGCAATGACAGAGATGAAGAAAGTAGACAGACCCCGACCCATATTCGACAAAGGAGGTTTGGACAAGTCCAAATACTCTGCTTTCCATGATGGACCGGGTCACACAACTGATCAATACTGGGATCTCCGAGATGCTATGGAGAAATTTGTGAGAGATGGACGATTACGCCAATATGTGATCAAAACCCAGGGCTCCAGAAAAAGGAAGTCAGGAAACATAAAAAGAAGTAAAAGCCTGGTTCCTGAGAAGAAAAACAAAGACGAAAGGAACCACAGAGATGATTCCAACCCTGACGAGTTCCCGGAAGCGGAATTCGACTGCAACGTAATCAGTGGCGCCCTTGGAGGAGGGGGTGACACTGTAAGTGCAAGAAGGAAGTACTTGAAAGAGGTCCTTTCAATTCAGGACCGTCCTAAATTCAAGGAAGACCCAAGCAAACTGGATCCCCCTTTGTTGTATTTTACAAAGGAGGACATGCATGGTGTGTTGCCAGGACATGTTGATGGACTAGTCATTGCTGGAACCCTGGTAAACTGCCGGGTTAAGAAGATTTTTGTTGACACAGGGAGTAGTGCCGACATCATACTATGAGACGCTTTCAAAAAGATGAACTTGGATGAGGAGGACCTCAAACCTTGCAAAACCACTTTGATAGCTTTTAATGGAGAGCATACACATCCTAAAGGTTATATAGATCTCAGGTTGACCCTGGGAACCAAAGAAGCGTTCAAATCAGAACGAGTAAGATTTATAGTGGCCGACTTCCCGTCAGAATATAATATAATTCTCGAGAGACCAACTATACACCTGTGGGACATGCTGGTTTCCACGAAACATCAAAAGATAAAGATGTTGAGTAGTAGGGTGAAATAATTACTGTTTGTGGGGATCAAAAGGAGTCCAGGGGATGCTATTTCGACACCGTCAAAGACAATGAAGATGGACATACTGGTCCACCCCGAATTCATGCAGGGGATAAACAAGGCAAGAACACAATCCAGCACCACTCCCAGAAGCCTGTTAATGTGGTTGAACTCGACATGAGAAAAGAAATAATATCGAGACCTGAACCTGATGGAGAACTAGAAAACCTCACATTGGGAAAAGAACCCGGTCAATTTACCCGAATTGGTAAGACCATAGATCGCCAAGTTAAAGAAGAATTGGCTGATTTCCTCAAGAGCAACACGGATGTGTTTGCTTGGAAGTCGTCTGAAATCTCGGGCATCAATCCCGCCTTCTGCTGCCAAAAGCTGGCAGTTTATCCGGGATCCATGCCGGTTTCCCAAAAGAAAAGGAAGTTGGGACTAGAAAGGAAACACATTCTAGAAGAACACGTTAAGGAGCTTTTGGATGCCGGGTTCATTCGGGAGATACAATACACAACATGGCTTGCGAATGTGGTGATGGTGAAAAAATCAAATGGGAAATGGAGAGTATGTATTGATTACACGGACTTGAACAAAGTTTGCCCAAAGGATTCTTATCCTATGCCTAACATAAACCAGCTGGTAGATAACTCGACTAGATTTCATTTGTTGTCCTTCATGGATGCCTACTCGGGATACAACCAGATTCCAATGTACCCGGGGGATCAAGAAAAATCCGCTTTTATTGCTGAAAAGACCAATTATTGCTACAATGTAATGTCATTTGGGCTTAAAAACTCAAGGGCAACCTATCAGAGGATGATGAATAAAGTGTTTGAAGATCAGCTGGGCAAGAATGTAGAAGTATACATTAACGATATGATCGTAAAGTCATTTGATATGACGAATCATGTTCAGGATCTCGAACAGACATTTCAAAAGCTTAGGAAGTATCGTATCCGCCTTAACCCAGTAAAATATGCATTTGGAGTCCCAGCTGGGAATTTTTTAGGTTTCATGTTAACCCATAGAGGAATTGAAGCGAATCCTGACAAATGCAAGGCAATACTTGATATGAAAGTACCCCAAAAAAAAGGAGGTTCATTAGTTAACCGGTCGATTAGCTGCGCTAACCCGGTTCCTGCCGAAGTCTGCTGAGAATGCCCTCCCATTCTTTAAATTACTAAAGAAGGAAGCAATAGAAGGATGGAACCCGGAGTGCCAAGCCGCGTTCGACAAAGTCAAGAAATGCTTAGCAACTCCACCAGTGCTCTCAAAGCCAAACCCAGGAGATATTCTAATCCTGTATCTCGCTGTGGGGGAGGAGGCAATAAGTGTTGTCCTGATCAAGGAAACTAACGAAGGTCAAGAGCCGATTTATTTTGTCAGTAGAGCCTTACAAGGTGCAGAGGTCAGGTATCAAAAGCTAGAAAAGGTGGTCGTTGCTTTGCTGATCACAGCCAAGAGGTTACGGCCATATTTTCAGGGGCATCAAATAATTGTCAGGACCAATCAGCCTATACGACAGGTGTTGCATAAGTCGGACCTGGCAGGAAGAATGGCAAACTGGGCAATTGAGCTTAGTGAGTACGACATAGCGTATGAAAGTCGGAAGGCCATCAAGTCACAAGCTCTGGCCAACTTCATAATGGAGCTGACACCATTGAACCCAGAACATGAGGAGTCTGGAGGTGCATGGAAGGTCTACGTAGATGGATCCTCCAACAATAAAGGAAGTGGAGCTGAAATCATACTAGAAATCCCAGAAGGAGTAACAATTGATCACTTCTTGAACTTGGGATTCCCTACTTCAAATAATCAAGCTAAATATGAAGCTCTGATAGCCGGGTTGATACAGGCTAAAGAACATGGAGCTAGAAAGGTACAAATCTTCAGTGACTCACAGCTGGTAACTTCGCAGATAGAAGGAAAGTACCAGGCCAAAGGTCCTCTATTGATGAAATACTTGAATAAAGTTCAAAAAATGATGGCCGATTTTGATGAGGTGCAAGTTACTCACATTCCTCGAGGGGAGAATAGCCGAGCTGACATCTTGTCAAAGTTAGCAAGCACCAAAAGTCCGGGTAACCACAGAACTGTGGTTCAACAAAGCATAGCAATTCCGAGTTGCGTGATGGTGATAACCTCGGCAAATGACTGGAGGAAACCCATAGTGGATTACCTGGAAAAAGGAATATTGCCAGAAGATCGTCTAGAATCTAGAAAGTTGGTCCGAGATGCGGCACAATACAAAATTATGAACGACCAGCTATGTAGAAAGGGTTGGCACACCCCCATGCTGAAATGCTTGAGTTCGGAAGGAGCAGAATATGTCCTCACCGAGATCCATGAAGGAATCAACGACCATCACATGGGAGGAAAAACCTTGGCTAGAAAGCTCCTTAGAGCTGGTTATTACTGGCCGACAATGGAAGTAGACTCTAAAGCACATGTCAAGAAATGTTACAGCTTCCAGAAGCATGACAAGTTAATCCTTTCACCACCTGAAGAACTGAAGTGCATCTCGGCTCCATGGCCCTTCCATGTTCGATTGTGCCATCTTAATCAGCCACCACCGTCTCATGTGCGCACCATCAGCTTGGGAGGTGTTAGATAAAATGCCACACTCCCACCAGCCCCTTCATTTTGCTTTCTTCCTTTTGTGTTTGGTGCATCAGAAAGTTTACAACTTTGAATAAAAGTTTGTGTTTTGTTTTGAAATCCAGTTGGCTAAGTCATAAAGGTTTGATCTTTATGTTTTTTTTTTGTCATCAATTTGTTTTTGGGTTCTGGGTTTTGAGAAGCATGAAATTGCTTATTACTTCAAACAAAAATCAACTATATATATGATTAATTTTTCAGCGAAATGAAACTTATTATAAGGGCATTCTTGTTTGATTCGTTGAGTTAGTGGATAATTTTTGTACAAGGACTTGGTGTTTTAGAAGATCATGGAGTTTAAGCTTGGTTTGAATAATCAGATTCGCTTCGACCTTATTTCGCTTGATTTCTCTCATTGTCGATGAGAATATGTTCCGGATGACTAGTTTTTGGAATTGATTTGATTTTTTTCTTTGTTCTTGAAGTTTTAAAGTAAGGACTTATTTGATTTTGAAATCCATGAGTATTTTGATATCCACTCAAATTTGGCAGGATTTGATTTTAGTTTTAATTGTTTGAATTAACAACCTTATTTATTAATTTATTCATTCTACTAATTCTTATCAAGGATAAGAAAGTAAAAATTATTAAAACAAAATGAATTCCACTCGGAAGCTATGTGACAAGAGGCTGATGAGATATTACTTAACATGATTGTCAGGGTCTTGTGGATACTTAGATTTGTAGCTGACATACTTTATTTTGAGTTATATATGCCATGTATTTTTTTGAGAGCATAGGAGATGTCTATGCCAGGTTGATAGTCTGTATATGCTGTTAGTGATGCATGCTCAAGTCTATGTTACTTATTTAATTGCATCTTTTGTTTATTTGATATAATTATATAAGTAACATCATGGACGTTATTTTGAAACAATATGATTATGAGATGGCCTAAGCATGGATGGCTGGGCAATATATTTTATCTATGTTGTGATATGTCTGAATTATATTAAATCGTCAATCAGGTTAAAATTTTCATAGTAGAATTTATCAGTGTAGTCCAAAACACAGAGAAAATGCTGTCCGTTTTATTTTGGCAATAGAAGTGAAAGGTTTGAAAAAAAATTATTTAGTTAATTTCCGCATTAATTAAGTTTAGCATGTTGCGCTTATTATCATATGAATATTACAATTA